ACATTTTATCAAACAAATTTTCCTTATGTTATGCATATTATTATTTAAGTATATAAAATAACTTTCTTCTTGAGAACCACACATATAAAACAACTATAAAAGTTTTTACTTGGAAAATTACTAAATCGAATAAAAAAATTACTATAAATACACACTTCCCAGACCCAAACATTTTATTAACAACTAGCATATACAATCTTGCATACAAAACACTTTACAAGTCTGTCATTATGGCCTTGGTTCATTTACATGCCAGTTGCATTATGACAGTGAAGTATCAGGATGATCAGAAATTACACACACGGAACATGTGGACCTTAGTCTTATATATTTTTTTTTCTGTCATAACATTTTAGTACATCAATAATTGTTATTAGAAATATCATTATCCTACCTAGCCTAAGCTATAATATATTTCTACAATAATTTTGCAATGTGACAATGGTTCACTTGAGCCTTTAAACTAGCAAGTTGGCACAAGTAAACCCAGCCGAATTCACCAACCATTCATAACACACCACTTCCTTTATTTATTCGATGATTGGTGATGAAACTGACAAACAGAGTGCGTTTATCAGATAAATCACAATATTTGCCAACTCAACATGAGTCTTTTAGTCCCCATTCCAGAACTCATCAAAATTACCTGCAGGTTTACACAGAACAACTAAATAAAAACAGTGCATGTTAAACTTCATTTCAAATGTGAACTTGCAATAAATTCTGCACAAGTTCAGGAATAAGAAATTTGATTCACTGTGCAGGGTATTTTTGCACTGATGCATACATAAGAGATGGATTAGGTTGTTGCCCCTGTTGGGGCATGACACAGTACTGTTGACTACCTGTTGGATATTGATACTGGTAAGGGTAGTAACCCTGTGCGTATCCTTGATACCAATAGCCCATACCTTGGCCATAACCATATGGGTATTGCTGTGCTGCTTGAGCAGGGTTTGCCATACCTGGGGTCATAACAGCAGATGGATCCATACCTACACCACCATTTTCTTTTCCCCAGAAACATTTAACTGTTTGTCCATTGATATCAGAATTATGAATGCTTTCTATTGCATGAGCAGCTGCCTCTTTTGTGGTAAATCTAATAAAGGCATATCCTTTGTCTTTGAAGACTCTTATGTCCTGTATCATACCGAAAGGAGAGAATGTTTTATGCATTAAATCTTCAGTAAGGCCGCTGGTGAAGCCTCCACAGTATACTGTGCAATTTGTAGGAGAGCTTTGATTATAGACTTCTTCAAAAGTTGGCTGTTTACCCTTAGGGGCTTTTTCCGATTTGGGTGGTGGTGGCTTCCTTGTGGACCAGTTTGTACGAATCGAACGAGAACCCAACCATTGGCCATTCATTGCTTGAATAGCATTTTCTGCATCGGTTTTTTTAACGAACGACACAAAAGCATAACCTTTTGATTTTAACGTTTGAGGATCACGTACAATACGACAATTAGATATTTCCCCGAATGGGGCGAAGGCCTCTCTTAATGTTTCAGTTTCGATTTCGGGGGATAAATCGCCTACAAAGATGTGGTGATGATTGGAAGTGTCCGTTTTTGGTTGATTTCCGGGACTAGTAGCCCAATTAACTTTCATTTCTTTATCTAAAAACACTCGCTTATTCATTGCGGCTAATGCAGTAGATGCCGATTGATGATTTGTAAACTCAACGAAAGCATATGGATCGTTGCCGGGTTCGCGTATTATTTTTACGCCCTTTACGGGACCTATTTGCGAGAAAAGTGTGCATAGCAGGTCCTCCGAAACTGAAATGTCCAAATTTCCTACGTATAAAGTTTTTGGATAATTTTCGTCCGACATATTGAAGTCGGCCCCGTAAAATTGTCCACCAACACTACTACTATTTTTGTTTACACTAATATGACTTTATAAACGCTAAATCTGCAAGAATTACTAATTAACAACGTATTTAATCACCAAATCAACATGAAACAGACAAGCGGTGACAAAAAACTGTGGAAAACGTATTATAGCCAACTTAGTCGTTACTAATTTCCCCATACTCGGTAGAAATTAAGATATGTTCCAATTTACAATACTTATAAGACTATCTAAATTTCATACCGTTTTAATGCAACAAATCCAGTTATGGTCAGTAGATTAATTACTTTTTTAAAATGATATTAATTACCATTATTGGAGAACTGTTGTGCCTTTTAATATTTATTACACATGTTTGTGTAATGTCTATAGTTCCACCAGAATAATATTGAAATTTATTGATCTATGAAAAAGTATTTCATAAACTTCGTTTTTTATATACAAAAAACAATTTTATTAAGAGTACGTATCAAAAATTACGAATTAATAAAATAGGATATTAATATTTTGAAATGGATCACTTTTTAGTAATCCATTAATCTATGGTAGTCTGTTACGTCGTACTTCTGTGGTTTTTAATTTTGGTTTTGTTGGCTTTCTGATTTTTGCAACCATTCGTAATTTTTGACAAATGGAGGTTATATTTATAAAAAATTAATTACAAGCATAATTTTTTAAACTTTGTAGATGTTTGTGTTATTTATTGATGCAAATTAGTGTTTTTGTAATCCCATTTAGTTATATTAGTAGTCTCAGAAGACATTGGTTTAGGAGGAATGTTATTGCTAACGAGTTTAGGAAGGTAAAATGGCAGTTGAGGAGACCACAAAAGAACGTCAAGAATTTGAATTAGAAGCTCTTTTAGTAACTTGAAAATAATAATTTTTACGTTTTATGAACTTACATGATTCTTTTTAGGCAATATATGGTGAGGATATTGTAGATGTAAGAGAAAAACAAGCGTGGAATTTGTGGCAGCCTCTGAACATTATCATAGCTCTTTCTCCACTAAAAGGCAGTTCTACTCCAAAAGAAGCCTACGTGTCAGTAAACTTACATGTTATCTGTTCTGAAGACTATCCCAATGAGTAAGTGTGAAGTATTTTCATTTACAAAGTTCAATTAAGTTATTTATTTAATTATTTAAACTAAACTTAATCTACTTACTTTAAGAGCCCCACAACTATTATTGGAAAATGCTAAGGGAATGTCAAAGACTGTATTGCATGAGCTTCAGAAAAATTTAGAAGAAAAGGCTAGTAATTATATTGGAGAAGTGATGATTTTTCAACTTGCAAACTATGTACAGGCATTTTTACATGAACACAACAAACCAGGTTCAGAAAGCTTTTATGATGAAATGCTCAAAAGGCAACAAGAAAAGGAAAAAGAAAAACAGCTGGCGAAACAGAAAGAAAGAGAAAAAGAGGTAACTGTTCAAAAATGTTTTTTTGTGGAAACTTTCTGGTAACTAATTCTGATTGTATTATTTAAAATATTAATAACACTTAATTGTAATACTGTTTTTCAGAGGGAAGGAATTTTGAATGAATTTAATAAAAAACAAGAAATTTTGAAATTAGAACATAAAAAGAAGAAAGAGCGGTACAGTTCAGACAGCAGCAACACAGAAGATGTTTCTGATATGTATTAAAATTTGGTAATTTTATAAAATAAAATGTAATAATAATAATATTGTTTTTAGAAGAAGAACCAGTGAAATAGATTCATTTTCTTGTGACTGTAAAGGGACTGAAACAATTGAGTTTTCAAATAATGGCTTTCAAGAAATTCAACGAGGAAAATGTATAAGTAAGTTATTAGGTTTTCCATTTTTGTACAATTTAATTTAAAATTAAAATTTTCAGACCATTCATTGAATAAAAATAGTATTTTGTACAAAGGCTTAGACTTGGCAACTGGCGAGTTTTATGTAATTTCTGAATGGTGTGTTCCATTGAAAAATGATTACGTTCAAATTTCAAGACAAATAAATAGTATTGAGCAAGAATGCAATTATCTATTTAAATTAAAACATGTTAATATTGTAAAATATTTAAACATAAAACACGTTACAAAGGAAGAACAAAACAAGGTAATTGTCTATGTCCTGAGAGAATTTGCATTTGGTAAGTATTGAATTATTTTTATTAATTCTAAATTGATATTCGTTATTTATTCATTATTACTGTTACAGGACTAAATTGTTCTTCATTGTTTCTAAGTCAAAATTTACCAGTTGATTTAGACATGATAAGACATATTGCAACGAATGTATTGAATGCCATTGAGTTTTTGCATCGCAACAGCGTTGTTCACAAAGAAATTTCACTGTCTAATATGTATTTTTGCAATGACGGTATTTATACATTATAAGAAAGTTAAATAATGTAATAATTGTTTCTTTCAGGAATCATTAAGTTAGGAAATCACAGTTTAAGTAAAAGGCTTTCTGATTTGGTAAAAACGTCTCAAACGCCGTCTTCTCTGAATAAGAAAAGTGACATTTTTATGTTTGGACTCGCCATATTAAGTCTTTTCAGGGGAGAAGCCGTTTCTGAAGAGAAAATCGCTTATCCAACTTCAGTTTCGTTAGATTTTCGCGATTTTCTGTCAAGGTACATTAATTTCAATTTCATATTTTCATTTAGTTAACTTTAATTTTCAAGATGCTTAGCCAAAGAGGAAAAAGAACGTTCTACTGCCACTCAGTTGCTAAATCATATTTTCATTCGAGCGCCCTTGGAAAAATTCTTTCCGAAACATGACCAT